TAGACGTTTAGATAATTGACGCAAGTTTAAAGTCCATATTGTGACAGGCTTCGATTTTGTGAACAAGTTAGGTTAGTTACTTGTACTGGGAGTTTTAAGTATTTCGTGGTGGTAAGGAAGCGCTGAGTAGTTGTGGGACGGAGGGATAGAGAGCTATTCCGTTCTGGCCGACAGTGGGTAGGTGGGAACTTGGGATGAGTGGAATGGTGTGAATACTTTGAGGGAAGGGAAGGCAAGTCGAGCTGTGTGGTATGATGGTTAGGTGGGTGTGTGAGGGGCATGGTGTGGAGAAGCCCTCGGGGATAGGCTGGCTGTATGGTGTGGAGAGACTTGCTGTATGGTATGAGGGGCATGGTGTGGAGAGACTGGCTGTATGGTATGAGGGGCATGGTGTGGAGAGACTGGCTGTATGGTATAAGGGGCATGGTGTGGAGAGACTGGCTGTATGGTATGAGGGGCATGGTGTGGAGAGACTGGCTGTATGGTATAAGGGGCATGGTGTGGAGAGACTGGCTGTATGGTATGAGGGCATGGTGTGGAGACTGATGGTATGAGGGGCATGGAGACTGGCTGGCTGTGGGGGGAGGGGTGGCATGGAGGGTATAACTGAAAGCTTGTTGAGGGGGGGGGTGGGAGTTAAGAGATGAGTGACCCGGTGTAAGTAAGTGCTTTAGAGTGGAGACGAGAGGAAGGTATGGTGGTGGGGAGGTTCTTAGGAGAAAAAAAACTTGCTTGAAGTGTAGGTTATCTTGGGGTGTGAGGGGAGGAGGGGGGAGACAGGATTTGGATGGATACCAAGACCAATACAAGTCTAACTTTGTTTCGAGAGTTTATGGTACGAGAGACGTCGATGGTTTAGGACTAGATCAAGAGAAACGGTAAAGGAGCAGTAATAGCAGCATCTAAAAGGCTCTCTGCGTCGAAGTAGCTTTGATTTTAGTAATGTAAACAATGGTTATTTATTACCCGGAAGAATAACCCGGACGTCCATTTGATGGTCTTTTGTAGACTCGAGGTCATGTGGCCAGTTAAAAAAAATGTTGGAAGTTATGTAATTACGTGTAATCAAGAAGGTGCAATTTATTTAGATATTCAGGTGTGCAGTCATTTTTACGGAAATATCACCTGTAAATCATTATCGACTTTCAGTGACTGATAAAATTTTCCGTGGACTTCATGGCTTTTAAGTCTCAAAATATAGAGACTTGGTGTTTTGAGAACATTGATACAACACTGTCACTGTGTCGCTCGCGTTAGCAACGTTCATTGTTAGCTATGATATTGAATTCCCGGCCATGAAGGCGTTAGAGGCGCGCCTGCGTCGTACGTTTTCTGTTGATCATTGATCCAACAGTTTACCTCGTCAGCTAGCCGACCATGTTCGCTGTATCGCCACACTTTATTTACCAAAAGCAATTTTATAAGCACTTGCCACGGTTTTCTAGTAGAAACATCGTATTGTGTTTATAGCGTTTCATTAATAGTGTAAGACGGAGGTTTTTTCGTCAGATCCTATCGATTGGAAGTGTTATAGCTCAAAATATCAGATTCCATGTGGACCAATATAGTTTGTCTACTGTGGCACCAGCAGTAACAAAGTTGGTGTGTGTTAGGTGCTGGGGCCAAGTTCCTCGTGTTTGCTTTTGCAGTTAACCAAATTGTTTACCGCGAAGGGCGACGTTGCCACATCTCTCAGACACGTTAAACTCTGGCAAACTAAAATGCCTTTGGTCTCTTGTTCTTGTAATGAATAATCGTGATTATAGACTAAGTTTAAGTGCCAGTTCCCTTTACGTAGCAGTGCCGTGTTCGTCGCCCATATCTGCTATTTCACTGACCTCGTCCTTTTCGTTCCTCCTCTTCTCACCTTTTCTTCCTCGCACCTTTCTGACCCAAATTATCTCCTTGCCTGGGATCATCTCCACTCCAGGCTTCTTATGTTTTGTTCCCCTTCACTCCGACATTCTCCCTTCACGGGTTTCTTTGAAAATAGTCTACTAGTTAGAAGACGTTCATACATAACGCAGTGGTCTTCGAAACTGTTTCTCCAGGTATGGCGTTGGAAGTTGTTCAGCTCTTATCACCTTATTACTGGCTAGTGATGAGGTACACAGTGCCATGAATGAACACTCCTACTTTGATTGTAAATGGCGTCCGTCGTGCTTCTCTTGTTCATGACTGGAGGTCGTCTTGAATGGGTTTCAGTGCCACCTCTGAACCCTACCTCCTTCCCCCTTTGGGTGGGTGCCGGCACCAGTGCAGACGATCAATAAGTGTCCCTGGTGAGTCTGGCTGCCTATTGAAGCTAGCTGCTGAAACTGCTTTCCTTTGTTACTTAGTTCTTTATTTACGGTTTTACGGTTTGTCTTGAATAGCAGCAGTAGTGCGAGAAGCTGTTTGGTGACTTTACCAACAGTAGTGAGCATTAGCAGCCCTCGCTGACGTGTGTTAGCGACTGTTGATCCAAACTCTTATGATAGCGGCCTTCAAGTTGTCACCAACAGCTGTGGTGGTATTGGAGGCAGTCCGAGATACCAGCAGCCGTATTGGCGGCTGTTTGGTGACGACAGTAGTCGAGGTGTAGATTTTGTGGATTATTGAAGTCATGTTAGCAGCTGTTTGATGACGTCAGCAGCGGTTGGGGTGGTGTGGGAATCAGTCTGTTAACGTCATTTGCAGGTGTGGTGTGGAGTTAGGCAGACCCTAATTTCCTTTCCAGTTCTTGGTAGGATTGAGGCTACGTATCCGGTAAGCTTCCTAGGCATCCGCTGTGAGCCTCTAGTTACTGTTAGGACTCCTATATCTTGGTGGGAGTATCGTCAATATTATAGCCGTGTGTTAACGATGAAGATAGGTAGGGGAGCAAGTACATAATTATGGAGTGCAGGGTTCATGTGACGTGGCATAGGGAGGGATTCGTCCAACCCCAGCTGTAGTTGACCCCAGGAGTTGTCTTGTTAGTTATGTTCCTCTGCTGCCACTGACATATGTGAGCATGCATTTAAAACTGAGGGAGAGTTTGGCCGCCTTTAGTTCAGTGGTGGTATCATGGGACGGAACAAGGGTTGAGCAACTGGTAGACTTTAAAGTTGAGCGGTTGTGACCGGGCTGCCGCATAAGCTGTATCCAGCTGTGACGGAGTTTATCGACTGCCCCTCTCCCTCTCTCCCACCCGCCTGCCTGTCACGTCACCGTTGCTCTCGCTTCCACTCCCAGTATTTCCCCAAATTCCCGGTATTGAGTTGGTCACTTAACACGCCGCGGTTAACATTTTATGTATGGAGGGAAAGTTTTGAGGAGTGGCACTTCATGAAACTTAAAAGGTCATGTTTAATTAATGCCATTAGTATATTGTACATGAAGTTCATCTGTAAGTGCTGTTGTAATAACGTCATGCTAGTTTCTCGAAATGTATGCTGACGTGGCATATGTTTTACCAAGAATGAAGTCGAGAATTTATCCTTAAAAAAGAGGTAGGACTGGGGAAAACCGTGTCATCCATTACCTAACAGCGTCAGATCTAAGCCACCATCATTCTCAAACATAGTGAACTGGTTTAATTTAGACTAAAAGAACTGACAAACAAATCACGAAAAACAAATTACAAAGGTTTCTGGCTTATTTATACCTGATATACGATTCTTTCCGTAACATTTTAACTTGGCTGCCTCATGGGATTTCAACAAAGTGCGTTTTTTTTCTCCCATTTGAATGCTTTGATGCAAGATTTACTGGTGTGGAAATAAATGCCACCACAGTCGGCTGCCTCCCCACCTCTCTAGCATCTTAATGGTATCCAACGCTTTTCCTAACTGGATAACGTTGGTAAATTCATTCACGTGTATATTTATTCGCGAATGACCGTCAAACCTAATTTCTAGCATTTTGGCAGCGGGCTATACAGTATATTGCCAGTAAATGGTTATGTATTTCAAGCTCTCATGTTTGGGTTGCTGAATGATTTAAGGGTGTAAGCCTTTTTATTAAACCATTCTTGTCTCGCCAGGAGTGAGGTTCATTTTACGGATTTTATATCGAGTCTTGCATATTAAATTAGATGGTTTAATGTTTGGTAAGAGGAGACATGATGGATTTGTTGTATTGTAGGACAGGAGGAGGGATTCATATCGTTACAAAACGAGTTAAGTTCCTGGTGCGTGTACTGTAAGTGTTAGGAATTTAATGAGTGGCGGAGGCTTTGCAGAATGCCACTTACATCCTTAAACTTTACAGTAAATTGTCGTTCTTTACATATTTAGTGAAGAACAAAAATGAAACATATTGAAATATCTTGATATAATAGCATAAACTCCCTCGTTTGTTTGGTTTCAAATTATCTTTCGGATTTTGTGGTAGTTTTTCCATTCAAATATTGGTCGATACTTTGTCCTGACATCGCACCTCCCTGTTGATTTTTGTCCCATTTACGTTTGGTTAGGTAGAGATCTTCCCAGGCTTCACTCCCCTTAGAGAGAGAGGCCAGCCTTGTTGCCAATAAGTCATGTTAGTAGGTTCGGCGAGACGCTATTGGTGGAACTTATATGCACCGTGATTTGTTAAAGGATTTTGTAGTTAGATGAAGTACAGCCAATTGATGCGTTTTCTTGACGTTAATGTAACCTTTCTGAGTTTGACGAGACATATACAGCCCCCTGTATTTACCATAAATCTTAATAATCTTGTATATTCCATCTACCTCCTTTACTCTCATCCCTCTATCCTTTCCATCCTCTCTTATACATTTTCATAAGCTTCCCCCGTAGTAATTGGTCAGATGTGTTGAAACTATTTTAGACCCCCGTCACAGGTGTACACAGCATGTAGCACACCTGGTTCATGGGTGTTCTTGGCCAGGCGCACCCAACTCAGTGGTGGATGTTCACATGGTTCATGGAGTCAGTAAACGTTCATACTAGTCGGTTTTTATATTAAGAAAGTTCAGATTACTAAAATTGTGAAGTTTATAGTTTTCTAATAATGGTGTTAATCCTTCTCTACAGGCGGACCAGCTTACCGAGGAACAGATTGCCGAATTCAAGGAGGCGTTCTCCCTGTTCGATAAGGATGGTGACGGCACAATCACAACCAAGGAATTGGGCACCGTCATGAGGTCACTTGGACAGAACCCCACCGAGGCTGAGCTTCAGGACATGATCAACGAAGTGGACGCTGACGGTAGGTTCCCGATGATGTATTGAGGAGGTAGCTGGGTAGGTCCTTGCCTCAACTGTCTTATTATAACCTATATTTGTACTGGCGTGTAGTAATTTTTATTGGGTGGGTCTCGACCAGATCCGTCGTTAATCTGTTAGTCATGACATGGTACACACTTTATTTTATTTTTAAACCAGGTCGTGCTACAGTTGCCGCAAGTTGGTATAGTAGGCTACAAGACCAACGTTAAGGGAGCATTAATGTTCAACTATTTCAAAACCTTGTTAGTTAAGGAATCACTAAAAATTCGAGGAGTAAATATTAACATGGTCAAATGCAAAAAGAAAATTCTTTAAATTCGACAGGTCAAAATCATGTTGCAACATTTTAAAAGTTTTGACGTCTTCATTTTAAATTTGGATAATTGGGCCTTTGCTCTATAAGGACATTTACGTAGCGAGACTGCTAAATATGTAAATGAAGGTTGCGGAAGTAGGAAATATTTACACACGTGACGCATACAAGAATAGGGACATAGTAAGGTGTGTAGGCTAGTCTTGTCTTTACACCCTTCCCAAGATAATTACTGATCATGTTAGCGGGAAAATTATCTTACGTGTTCATAACCACTTGCCACACCCAGCTGGTTTCTGATGGCGAAGATGAGTGGGTTTTAGAGACTCAATTTTATAGTATTACTGTAAAAATAAAAGTACAATTGTGCAATGAGAGCGGAACACGTGGTGGGGGTTATAAATATCTGGACCCAACACTACCAGCAGCAGCAGGAGTAGGCCAACTCCTCCTCCGCTCAACCCAGACACACACTAGACCTTTACACTTAAGCACGTTGTGAAAATTCCTAGATATTTATGCTTCTATCTTCAACTCCCTTCTCCAATCACGTGCCACCCACCATCACACACCACCCACAGGCAGTCACCGACCACTTATCACCGTTAAGTAGTGACCAGTGAGTTATTCAGCGAAGCTCATCTCAGAGTAGCGAGAAAACAATATTATAGTTCAGAGAAGCGAGAAAACAATAATATAGTCAGGAAGTTGGGTGACTGATACTGGTGTTGGCCAGAAAAAAATGGTAGCTCGACCAGACCTAAAAATTTAGCCATCACATCACGGCCTTGGCACTTGCTAGCCAACACCATAGCTCTCATTCTAGTGTTGGCAGCTGTCCTAATTTAAGGGGAATGTTTGATACGTTAATATTTTTTTCCATGTTTAGAACTTTTATCTCCACGCCATTCGACGATCACTTAGCGACACCAGGTTCCCTGTCATCTCAGATGTGTTATTTTTACCTGTCATCACTTAAAAGTGTTAAATTCATACTGCACCGTCCACACCGCTTTAACTCAATCCCCCCCCCCCTCCCCCGTCACATGATTTCTGCACTGCACTTCCTCTTCACAATCTTCGTGTGATTTCTACTTCCTCACAACTCCGTGTAATGTACATTATATACTGTACTGTATGCACGGTACCATCTCACCCCCATAATCATACTGGTTGTCACTTTGCCTATGGACTGCTCCAACATTTCTCGATGTCTAAAACATCATATTCCATTTGTTATCCATACTTGATCACTGCTCACCCTCTAACGTACAAACTATCCCTCCAGTGTTCTTATAGTTGTTGGTAGTTCGAAGTAGTTTCTGCCCCACTTGTACGTTGTAGACGCGTGGTAATTGGTACAGGTGTTTTGGGGAGTCGGTTGGTGTAAAAGGTGCAAGGAGTCTCAATTACACCCCCCCCCTCCCCTCAATGACTCGGGAGGTACCGGTACCCCAGTATTAAAACCCATTGAAGAACCCACTCCGATGCCTATGCTTGATGTTGGGAGTGTGTGTTAAGTGAAGGAGTCGGGGGTCAAGATAACTTTGGTGCAGACATACTTGACGGGAGGGTTGGGGGTGGACAGGGGATGAGTGTGAGTCACATGGTAATGTCATCATGGGGAGGGAGAGGGGGGTCCCCCTTTCTCCACAAGCCAATAGTGAGGGCCTGACGAATGTATCACATTGAGTCACTCCAGTAAAAAATATTATTTAATGCCTTTCGAGATTAAAGTATATTTCACGTAGATTATAATTTTCTGATGTGAATTGGCAATGTAAGTTGGGGCTGACGACGTGGCTAATAGCTAAACATTGTTAAACGTATTAGTGTTGCATGTTCGTGACATAATTGGTCCCATGGTGACTGCAGTCAGTTTAATATAACCGCGTTAATCCACTGCCTAACTTTAATCCCTAACAACTGCTGTTAACTCTTCAGTGAAGATGATGTATTAGTGGAAGCTTGTTTAAGGGACACCCTGCTTACCCTGGCAGTCAGTTCTCGAGTGAGGGTGTGAAATTTGTTGTTAGTCGTGATGAGAAGAGGAAGTATGTACTGTATATTGACGGTTTATCCTAACGAAGAGATCCCTCCTCGTCACTTGGCCGGAAATAGGGATTTTAGTTGCCTTTGTAAAGTTTTCACAACTGGGCAAGGTTTACACACTTGATTTCTCCTAATACCGTGTATATACGTGATATGCAAATGTTAAAATAATAACAAATATTTAATAAACGCTGAAAATTTTATTGTTCTTAAATTTAACATCTCAAGTTTAATTGGGTATTTATAAACACCAATTGGAGTGTACTCGTATATAACCTTTAAAAACGCAATTGTGTGATGGCTTTACAGCGGGGCAGCTTTTACATTTATCATCTTGATTGGTTTAAACGGAATTTCATAAGTGTTAAAAAAGTATAGAGTGGATCAGAATTACATGTAGCTTTTCCTCTGGGTTATCGGTCATCTGTAGGGGATAGAGTAAGAATCATTGTCCCGACGTATCGAGGTAACGAACCGTTGAGTAAGGTGGACGGTAGCAGATCATTATGGTATAGAATAGTAGGAAAGGTAGTGCCTATATCTCAGTGGTCGTCTTAATGTTATGTTTGATAAAGCAGTCGACCAATGCACGAGAATTTAGCTTTAAAGTCAAATCGTTTGGAGGTAATAGTCGAGATTTGGAGGTTCAGATCTCGCTAGGTAATGTATTGGTGGGCATGTGACAGTTAGGTAATGTATTGGTGGGCATGTGACAGTTAGTTTTTTCATTACGGGTGTTGTGGCAAGTGTCACTGCCAAGTGGTGGGTGGGAGGGGGGGCACCCACTCACCCCGTCGCCCTTTCCCAGGTAACAGGGTACACGGCGCCATGCATGTGGTGCCCCGTCATGCGTGCAGGATGTAGTGGGGGTGTCTCACTCACTCCAGCTTCGGTTTTTACATGACGGAGCTCATTCATCATCGTGGTTCATAAGTTTATCATCGGCTCTGAGGTAGATAAATGTCCATAACCACAGCGGCACTTGAGGTTTCGTGCACCAGTGCCTTGCTCGTTCAGTTCTCGATGTTAATTCAGTACAGTTGATATAGATATTATTAGCCTGTTTTCTTTACATTTGATAGAAATATGTCATGGTGTTTATTAGTAAGGAAAAATGCAGTTTGTGTATGTGTTAGTGCATGTTTTTGTTTTGTTTTTGTTTATCAGAGGAATAAGTGGGTGTAGGTGGAGTTCAGTGTTTAGCCCGAGGTGTGGTGTGAGTTGGTAGGTCTGGCACGTCGCCCGCCCCCACAGCTCTGGGCATGTTCACCTGTCTTGTATAGATGCGGATATGTAGGTTGTGGAGGGGAAGTGTTAGAGTACAGTACCCTCCAAACATCACGCAGGAGCTGCTTGTCGCTGTTCGGGCACTAAAACCTGTAATATCACTTGCAACTAGTTTCCTGCATCGGGAATCTTCATGTATGCCTCTGTATGCAGCTTTGATTATATTTGGAGATAATCATTTCATTTTGTTATAGTGGTGCTTAGGATTTATTTGCTAGTGTTGAGAGAGTATGCGATGAAGGAGACGGACAGCTTCAGGATCACATACATTTGCCCTATACTGGTCCGCGTTCCTTTGGTCCACCAGGTAGCGGGGACACTGCGGTGATGATTGTTCCCGCACCCTCGTAAATGTGTGAGCTTGGCAACACTCGTGAGCCGGGAACTTGAGGGAGGCTTGCCGGCGCCTGGTGGGGGATTGTGGGGGCTGTTAGGGAGACTAGTTAGTTACATCCAGGATTTTTTTTAAATTTTGTGGCACTACAGCTTTAGGGACGAGTTATTCAAACATTGGTCATACTGTAGCCGTATAATTATAAATGGTGAGAGCATTCTTGTTGGTTACACTGGTAACTTGAGCCTCTGTTACATTGATCGTCAGTGACTCACGGACCCAGAATGGTAAGAGTCCATCCAAGTAACGAGTGAAATGTATATTATACACGTGAAAACAATGAGATAGGCATGACCAGTGTCAATGTAGTCTTTTGCTGGTGATGTTATTGACGGTGCTGACAGGTCTATATAAACATGGCTCGGCGGGGAATTAAGAGTTGCCGGCGAGTGCCGCCCGCTGCTCTACTTGGCAGCGTGGCTGGTGGCTCCCAACCCAGAAAGCTCCCCGGTCTTAAGTAGTTATGGTCAGTGACTGAGTATCCCAGGACGACGGTAGTCACGTTCCATATTAGAATGAATGTAAGTTGCAGGTCACCGTGGCACGTAGGAGAGATCACAGGGTGACCTGGTAGTATGATGTGAGGACGCCGCCGCCATCTTGGTACACCGGAACAGGAGGTGACAGACCGGTAGTGTGGGCGAGCCTCACTGTCCAGAAAATTTAGCCACTGCCACTTGGAGATAGCTACCTTGGAGACATGGCGTCCTAGCTTACCGTTTGAAAGGGACAGTGGTGGTAGTATATTCTTCAAATGGTTGAAGTATTGCTAGTGATTGCAGATTGATAATGGATCCGTGATAGTTTAAGTTGAGGTTGCAAAATGATACATTGTTCCCACATTATTGTGCACCAAGAGCTTTCTTGTTATATTATTGTGTTCTTTGTCACTAATCTGTCAAACATAGGTCAGTGTTTTGTTTTTGATCGTATTGGGTCTAGTTTTTTCTTGTCTAGCAGAGAACTTTTATATCAATACCTGTACGTATACTGATGAAACTTGACTTGTATAGACGCAGTACAGCGGGACGCCAAAGGTCGCGGTCAAGGTCGCGGTCGAAGGTCAAGTGTTAGATTTGCCCACGGTCGTATTACAAACTGTGTTACTCAACTGCTTAGCTTAGTTTGCTACTGGGCGCGCATTGCACTATTAACCGGTGTCTTGGGGGGGGGGAGTTACTGTGCTGCTTGGTGACGTGAGACCACTAGAGAAATTTTGAAACGGCTACATGTTAGACCAAGAGAGGAATACAAGAATGAGTGAACGAGAACCATGTCTTAAGATGAATACAAGGGCAGCGAAATGAAACGGGTGTGAAGCTGTTGGTTATATGGAAGTTCAGAGATGATTAGGGTTACTAGATTAACACGATGGTGATGAGCGACACGAGGACACCAGTTTGACAAAGTGTGGCGATATGTTGGTTGATCCAATAAATATTATGGTTGCAGCAACGTCCTCGGTGTCCCTGGGCAGGTGACACAGTGCCCTTGCTGCTGGGCGCCTCGTACTGCCAGACTCTGCCAGCCACCACACCACCGCCCACCTCCCTAACACCCTCCCTCACCCACCCGCGCAAACACCCCACTTGATCACCTCCCGAGCCTCCTCCGGACCCCCACACACACCAACTGTCTTCACACAAGAGAAGCTCCTCGCTAACAACCATACATTATTATGATGACTTGAGATTTAAATTTTATAAAGTGTTAGCCGCATTCCTGTCGTGTAAGTCTTGAGTTAGGAAGACTGGAAAAGACTGAGGGTGCCACAACAGATTCACCAACGTAATGAAATGAGAGAGAACAGGGGAGGTGGAGAGAAAGTGGATAACTGGTAGAAAAGGAATTGTCAAGTTATATTTAGTTTTTGGCAGTGAAAATGTCCTACTGCGGTGGAAGTAGCATGTGGATCTGTTAGTGAACTAATTTGTTCTCTCATCCTGGTCATATTCTTCCTCGGTACAAAAAAACGAGAAATTTAGTTGACATGCCTACGCCTCCAGTCTTAAAACGAACACCACAGTCAATGACCCATCTCAATATTCTCCGTCGTGAACACAGGGGTGGCGACTTTGCCCTGACCTGAACACACTTGGTAGTGCCATTGTTCTTATCATGAACACACACACGAGTATTGAAGTATAGTGCACAACGTTGTGATACGTTAGATTATCCTAGCGACGTTAAACGCTTTTAGACTATTAGTGGAGATAGTTTACTAACCAATTTTTTTGTATACGTACTGTACAGTAGATCAGATGAAAAATAGAGATCACATATTTACTACATTTTCTGCCGTAGTCGATCTTTCCTTCCCATTCTTTCTCCCACCCTTTTATTTATTAGTAGGATGTGGGGTATTGAGTAGATAAGTTGATTTACCTATTCAGTACTGTCAGAGTGCTTACTAACCAAGAAGTAATGAACATGCAAGGCTGGGTTTTACAAGTATTTATTAATGGAAGATAGGGCTGAGGGGGAGAGGGGGGGGGTCTGCTGGCTGTGTAATGGATGAAATGCGATGTTATCTGACGACATTGGTTCCTACCTGAAAATGAAGAGTAGGTCCCTTTAGGATCTCAAACATGTACATACGCCACGTGCATATAAGCGTACGGGTGAAAAAGCAGGGCATAACGAGATTGCGACTGAAATTTGCTTCAATCGTGGGCAGTTGTACCAATAGTATTACTTAAACCTTAACTTACATAAAGTGCTAGTAGTAAGTAGCGTTTACTTTTTAAATGTCAAATGAATCTTCGCCACCATCCTTTTTATATTAATGAGTGTGTGGGAAGGCCTCAGTGGGGGTGTGAAGCGGTCATCGAAGTGCCTCGCTTAGTAGCACTAGTGGAAGTCACGCTGACTAGTTGTATCAGAAATAATATCGGCAACAGTAATGGTATCAGTGTCGGCAACCATAGTAATGATAGTAGTAGTAGTATCGGCACCAGCCACCGCATTAGGTTGACACATTAACTGTCCGCTGACTTTAAATAAAAATAACTCTGGGTCGTGCTCCTCCCGGGAAGTGTTTGCTTGTTTAGATTGGGGTCCCCAAGTGTGGCTCCTTGACGTGGTCCTGGTCTACTTGTAGCCGCGTCGATCGTATTCCCCCTGCTCTATTTTTGTAATACTGTACTGTACAGTAAAGTGGAGTCATGTGCATTCCTTCTCTTAATAAGGCAAAAACACTTATCATTCGAAGGTGAAAGTGGGAGAAAGTTCAACTACTGGTAGGTTAACTCGATGTTCTCGCTGATTAGACAGAATTCGAAACTTTTTGGCATGTCATTAATAGTAACCGGTATACAGTATCAATATATACACGAAGCACCCTCCGTTAACAATATTAGTTTAATGTAGAAACGTTTATTTTAACGTTTTCATATAATTAGATTTATATTGTAGGGATAAAAAATATATTTATTTTATATTTTAGTCAGTTTTGAAATGTTCCAATAATGACAAGGATATAACTTGTTACAGGCAATGGAACGATCGACTTCCCCGAGTTCCTGACGATGATGGCGCGTAAGATGAAGGACACTGACTCCGAGGAAGAGATCAGGGAAGCCTTCAGGGTGTTTGATAAGGATGGTAATGGCTTCATCTCAGCGGCTGAGCTTAGGTGAGGAACTTGTCTTTCTTCTTGAAGGACATGTACTTGCTAGGATCATAAGGAGTTTGAATTTTGGATTAATGTTCCCTTTGATTATTTTTATACCTAATTTGAACAGGATAATTGCTCATTCGGGAAGCAGAATTAATTACATTTAATTCTGTGGTGACCATTGTGATAATTTTACCCTTATTTCATCCTTAGGCACGTGATGACCAACCTTGGGGAGAAACTTACCGATGAGGAAGTCGACGAGATGATCAGGGAAGCTGATATTGATGGTGACGGTCAGGTTAACTATGAAGGTAAGTAGCCACACAACCTCCTTCCTGGTCCACACACCTCATCGACAGCATCTTGCCGTTAACTGCATGTTTCATGGGAGTAACCAGTAGCCAATTGTAGTTGTAAGATTGGGTCTTGCAGATTTTATTTTCTAGTGTACGGCATTGAGTAACCTACCATAAATGAGATGTTTACATTATAAATGTGAAGACTTTAATGGGCATGTACAGGCAGTCGAAATAATCAACTTGGGTTGATGTATAAAGGGTGCAAGGGAAAAAACCTGCTTTTTCAGGTTTGGTACTCTGATAGTTGAAGTAAATATAATATTTTATTCTTTATTTTTTTTATTTTTATTTATTTTTACTGTGATTAGCCCACCCGGGCACAGGTCACCGACCCACATCGGGGCCTGGGGGGCCAAAATATAATAATAATAATTCATTATAAAAATAAATAAATAAATAAAAATAATGAAATAATAATGATAATAGTATTAATAATAATAAAGAAAAAAGAGATCAATAGTGAGAAACAATATATGTGGTGTTGTCAAAGTAAGAGAAACCATTGAAACCCTGCAATTGTGTGTAAATGAGGCAGAAAGTCAGATCAGCAACCTGGGCTTTGGTCAAAAATTTTTGTGGTGCCGTATGGCAGCAGGGTCTACCATTAGACAATTGCTTCCAATATCTTCCCAGGCAATAGTACCTCCCTGTTTGGTAACTGCCTACTACCTGTTAAATGCATGTTTAAATATGCCTGCTGGGTTGTGTATGGAAGTACAGTATTGGGATTATTTAAAAACAAGATTTGCTGGAAAATAATAAAAGTAGTTGTGATGAATAAGAATGGAAGTTTCTGCTTAACTATGCCTGCAGAATTGGTGGATGGGAGGCTTATAGTTACTGGACTGTATCGGACAAAAATGTGCGGTTTAGGTTGTAGGAAGGTTTTGATTTGCGGTGGTGAGAGATGTAGTAGCCTACTCTACTGGTGATGGGGAAGAATAAGAGTAGCTTGTTAGTAAGGTAAAGGGTTGAAGATTTCGTTTATGAAATACAGCACTACATACCGGGTAATCTAGGATAATAGCAGTATGCTACACCAATTTGTCGGTCATTCATTGAACAAAGAAGTACTTTTAGTAAGTAATAATTTAAATACTGGGTGGAAAAGTTTTTGCAGATATACATGATCAGTATGCAATTCTCTGCCAGCTTCGTGGACTGCTCCAACAGGTTTGCAACCCGCAGCTTTGCATGCATCAGCCCTCCAGCATGTCTTTGCATGACCTATACTTAATTACACACATTATTGTAGTAATCAGTATTACATCTCTTGTTATCTTAGAAATTTGTTACTTTAGAATTTGCACTACTTGGCCATGCACTTTAATACATGAAGACTATCTTTAGTTCAGATGGACACCGATTTTGCACATAACAGCTGAGAATTCTTAAAGTTGGTTTAAGGTCATAGCCCATATTTTTCTTTGGACCTTAATTTGCGACTTTAAAACTGAATTGGCTCATGTGTCACTGGTTCTCCATTTTAAGACAACAGTATTTAGTTGTAGATTAACAGTATGATTTTAAGTTAGACATTAACATTATTTGTGTGGTGCATGACTCGCCCCCAGAGTAGCCCTTGGCTTCTTTTTTCTTTGCAGAGTTTGTGAGAATGATGACCTCAAAGTAGCGCCTCGTCGCCCTGTTCTCCTCCCCTCGCCCGTGACTCACCTTCCTAACCTTAGTTTTACCTGTTAGTCACCACACATTTGGTTATGTTGACAGTGTTAATGCATCATAAAGTCCTTGTTTGTTGTTCTGTACAACCTAATCCTTCCTTATCTCACACACGCCTGAATTACTGTAATGTCAACACAAACCCTCGTTTTATCCTGGCCAAACCAAAACTCGTCATATTTGTTAAGGAAGCTGGTTATAACAGCTTTTTTCTGTGGTGCTTTATTTTTGGAGCCTTTTTTTCCATTTTATCTCTGTGTGGTATCTTTTATCTACTCAATAAAGTCTTTGCTAATTTCCACTATCCAAGCTATGTACAGTATCCCTTTTTTCTGGTGCTCATCCACTTTTAAAATGGACTGTTCTTCCACTGCTTAACTCTTCCCTCCAGCCCTAAATATAGCCTCAGTTCTTGCCTCCCCTGACCCTTTTATAGATTTGTTTTGCTTACTGCCCCATTTATAGCCTTGTTTTACAGCTATTAGCCTTTGCTTCATGTCTCTCCCATACCTTTTTGTTACCTCCCTCTCATAACCTGTGCTTGGCTTCCACCTACCCTCTTTATCCAAACCTTTGCTTCCCTCCTCAAGGTTACGTATGTGATGGGTATGCAGTACTGACTTCAGACAGCTTTTTGTGTGTGTGTGTGTGCAGAGTTGTGTTTATTCCCAGTGGAATGCGAGTACTGTAAAGATGAAATTTAGAAAAATCCATAATATAATAAATTTCGGCTTCGTTATTGCCAACTTTCGCGATTGCTCATGCTTGCCATGTACGATCAAACAAGTTTAATGTTTATATGCCCGGAATTTGTCCAAATACATGTATTTTTTTTTTATGGGAAATGCCCTATTGCACATCAGTCACGCATACAAATAAAGTAAATTTTATGTCCGTGGATGTCCTTATTGTCCGACCAGCTTGCTATATTATTTATGTTCCAATCCGGAAGTATTTAGCAACTTGTAAACTCAACTTAATATTTTTTGTTAGTTAACGTCTTTTCTCAAGGTACATGTGCCAAAAACCTCTCGATGGCTATAAACACTATGCAATCTGAAACCATTGAATGACAAGCTCTCATCCATTGTCCTCAGGTGATAAAGTTTTTGTCAAGTGTACATAATTTATTGCGGATGTATAATGGGCATTCAGGTTTCATACTTTCGAGTACAAAGTGAATGGATATTATCCATTGTCAATTAAGCATAATTTTATTTTGTATTTGACATAAACGGCGGGAGACACTCGTCCCAGGCCCGTACTTCCAAACTGTAGCCAAGCGTTGAGAATTCATCATTATGGTAATGGAGTACTTCAGAGGAGCATGTTTTTCCTGCGTGTCATTTGTTGTGCACTTCTGGTTGGGGCTGGAAGTGCCTGTGATCATTTTTCAGATGCAGGCGAACTGAATAGTGCGTATTTTTTTAAAGTAACATTTTGTAGCGTCTTACCGAGACCTTTAAGTTAGGGGAGTGATTGGTTATTAATTCATAATTTTGATTTTATCTAAAGTTCAGCTGCATAATGATTTGATGCAGGTAAGAATGAAACAATTGAACGATTTGGATTGTCATTCAATACCTCGTGTTTTGTCATGTGGCGGTTTGTATGGTCTACCCCTCCCTTACATATCACTGGTTTATGGTTTTACTGTCATTCCTTATGGTTTTCAGGTGCCCTACAAGTTTATATTTTTTTAATTTGAATTAATCTTTTCAGTGACCACTTTTATTTTAAACAAAGTAAAGTTGTCTTTAAGGCCTAAAGATGTGTCTAATAAATCTAATTTGGTTATAATAGTTTGAATTACAATACTCGCATTGGATTTCACTTAAAATTTATTATTTCCTATTATTTCATAATGTATAGTTGCCGTCGATATATTGAAACTGCGGCACATATGTGAAAGTTATTCAATGTCTAATCTGTCATTTTCTCTTCCCTTCCCCCACAGAGTTCGTCACAATGATGACCTCAAAGTGAAGTGATCGTGCCCACTAAATATTGTAAACAAATTTCAAACGAACAGTTTTTTCTGCTTTCCAGTTTTATCTTGTTAACGGAACTGCTAAAACCCATTATAATAAACGAGTCACCATACTATCTCTTACTTGCTAAAATCTTGTATTGCCTTTATACACTATCTGGCTCTTTAAGCGCTACCGTCTCAAACAACCACGACAACCACCACCACCACTCTGCCGCTGCCAACACCGCCACCACCACTACTACTACATCTACTACTTCCAAGAATTACGATTGCTGCTACCAACACAACCACCCTGTACTGCCGAAGAAGCCACCACCATCAGTCAGTCAGTAGCAGCGAAGATGACGCCATGCTTTCGTCAGCAGGTGTGGGCGTGGGAGGGTGTGGAGGCGCTTACGGGCGTGCCTGACGGGAAGCCCCCCACTAGGAGTTAAGGACTCGTCGCCCGTAACGGTAGCGCAGTTATACATGGGTTGGTTGTTCTAGGGACGCGCTTCGGGTGGCTGGCCTTCTAGAAAATATTGATATTTAACCGTTATATATACATATTACTTAGTAGAAACAGTGTTTGGATGTGGGGAGAGAGTTTCTTCGCCTGCGTCAAATACCACCCCAGCACCGCCAACCTTCCTGTAAAGGGAGACATTAAAGTGTTGCTGGGATGCCAGAGGATGAAAACAACTTGTGTAACCCACAGTGGCACCCATTGTGAATACAAATTGCAGCTGGTAATGAATTGACGCTATTGGGAAGATAAGAAATATGGCATGGATATCCCTTATGATACATCACTCAGCGACGAAGGCTCTTCCCCCTTCCCCCCAAGTGTAAGAACTAATATATCATCGCAACTCTCCCAACACCTTGGAGGACTGCCACCCATACTCGTCTCTCAAGACCACTAAGCTCTTTCTCTCATTTTTATTAGTCCTGTTCTAAATGAAAGTGGAAAGCTAGGTTGGTCAGTTTTTAATAAACTGTCGTAGCAAATTATCATTTTTTTTTTTTTTTTAGTTAATCCATTGTTTTTCTGCGAGATGCATTGTAAAGGAGGAACCTGAGTCCCGCCTGACCTCGCCTGACCCGGGGTCGGTGGTGGCCATGTTGAGGACCCTTTTTTTTAATTCCTCTCTTTCTTTTTATATTATTGAACGTTCGCTCATAGCGACCATTTTATATTTTGTCTGAAAGTCAATTATACAGTAAATAAGGAAGGAGAGGGTGCGCTGTATTTTTGTGTTGATTGAATGAGGTCGATACATTTACGTATCATATACTTCTTGTTAGCTGTGTCTTTGTCAATTTTCTTAAGGAATAGCAAATGTATACATATTGCAAAAAACAAAAATGAACAGTTGAAAATTTACTCTTGTACTACATAATACTAATGTAAGGCACGTCGCATCTATCAATTTGTTTTATTTTTTGTTTCTTGTCCACCTCCCACATTGTTTCACACTGTTTGTTAAGGATGCCACTTTGAACGCGGAGGCGCTCTAACAGTGAGCTTGACCACTCTTATTATTATGATTACCATTCACCATGCTCATTAATGATGGTTATATTATTATTGTGTAGGAAAATATGGTACTTTAAAACCAGTTTCTCTTTCTGCAACATGTCACTTTAATTTAATTTTTTTTCCTTGTACTTTTCTTGCCAAGTGCGGCATTGTTGGATTTTTTTTTAAGCTTATCTGGGTCTCAACAGTTGACGGAAGGTTTGTAGTCACGCTTCTCAATTTTGTTTACATCGCCCAGGGTGGTGACCATAGCAACGCCCACTCCTAGATGTGACGCTCCCGGCCCCGCCCACCAGTTTGGAGTGTGGGCGAGGACTGGCGATGTGTTAGTTTTGGGGTGGTGGGTGATGCTGGGTACCCACCCTGCAGGCTATTTTAGATTCATTTGGGGGAACCTTATATTGGTGGTGCGTGGCGGTAGTTCTGTTGTGTATCTACCAACATTGTCTGACACGCGACCAAACTCCGCTTCGCGATGAACATTCCTTTAACGCTGCTATGTTTGTGAGGGGGCGTGGCGCTGTGCGTGTGGTTGAAGCTCGCGCCGCGTCGCCCGTCTTGTTTTAAGTGTGGTACGTGAGGTGAGCGGGAAGTGGCAGGGAGAGTTGGAGAGACACCTGGACCACTGGTGGTCTAGGGAAGGGGGAGAGGGAGGCTGGGCCAGGGCTGGTAGTAACTGCTGCTGCCTTAGCGGACTACTGCTATACCCACCCATCACCACCACCTCCAGCACCTGCTGCTGCCACCCAGGGCTGCCTCCACTGCTCTCCCTGCCGCCCCCGCACCCCCAAGCCCTCAGTTGGTGAGACCCGGTGCCGCAGGAACGTTTCCCTACCATCACCGCCACCCAGCAGCAGCGCCATTAGCTCGAGCACTGCAGTAGCAGGAGTATTCGAGTGGTGTTGTTGTCCAGTAGGGTGATGACTGGTGGAACAGCTGTGCCGACCGGCCGCCCCGCTCCGCCCCACCCACCACCACCACCTGCACCAGTATGAACGTTTTATCAACTAAACTATGTCTTGTGTGTTGGGCCCGCCATTAATTTATTATATATATATATATATATATATATATATATATATATATATATATATATATATATATATATATATATATATATATATATATATATATATATATATTTATTTATTTATTTTTTTTTTTTTTTTTACTTGTGGTATATATTTTCCTCCCGCCCCCCACCGCTGCTGCCGCGTGCGTCGTGCCACCGCCGCTGCTGCAGCACACCCTTGGCTGCCACAGTTGTAGACGGGCCCAGTCGCTCTAACATTGCCGCCGCATGTTAGCTAATGTGTCCTGGTGTGGGCGGGGTGGTGGTTACAGCTGCCGTTTTGCCTCCTCCAACTAGGTGTGGGCAGGGTGGTGGTTACAGTCCCCCTATTGTCTACACCAACCAGGTGTGGGTGGGGTGGTGATTATAGACGCCCAACTGACTTCATCTACTAGGTGTGGGTGTGGGCGGTGGCTGGCGCCATCCCCTTGCTCTAGCCTGCTGGCACTACCATGTGTAGGGTGTTGTTCGCCTGGCCCCGGCGTGTCCCACGGGGCCCCCCGTCATGCCCCCGCCTCGCCCTGTCCCGCGGCCTCTCCCCGCCCAGGCCCCAGTGTGGTAAACCCCTGGAGGCCCCCGGGGGGTGGCGGGTGGCGGCGGGCGGGCAGTGGGCGGGTCGTACTAGTATTGTTGGTAGTGGTGGCGTGCGGGCGGGCGAGCGGGGCCGAGCCGGGGAGCCTCTCCGGCCGCTTCACCCCCACCACCAGGACGCCATTAGTAATTTGAGGACCTGATGTCATGTTGTATTGAATAAAAAAGATCAAGAAAGAAATAGGTGTTTAAGTAACCTTCACATACAGTATACTTCATTCTACTCCTTCATTACCAGTCGGATTTCTTCATCTACTTTTCACCTTCGTTTTTGGGCTGGACAAGTGTAAATAAGAAGCATTTCCACATATATCAAGTATGGTATACATTTCATTCAGTTCTGTCCAAGATGAGTGGGGAGACTAGGATAACTGGTTCGTCTCGTATATGCAGCATATTGGTGTTGAAAACAATTAATAATATGTTTACTGCTCATGCACTTAATAAATATATATATCGAGCTGGTATCCTAAACGTATTTACGTGAATTTGTTCCCTCTTGTGTGATGCTACCGATTCCAATGGAGGTAAAACGCAAAAAAAAAAAATCGCCAGAGGTGATGGTGCCATAAGTTCACCTTTGATCTAGTACCACGAGGTAAGCTGGTAGTGCCACAAAATGTCAGGCTCATGTGGAGTGTAGATGCAACCAGTTTCATTCACTTCATTCGTAAAAAAAAAAAAAAATATCGCATTTATTTGTATTAAAATCAAAATATATTTTTACGGGCTCATTATTTGCATCTTTGACAATGCCAGCGTTTCCCTAGTATGCTTTAGCAGTTTTTATTGGCAATGATGATGGAAACTGTAAATTCAAATTAGATTTACTAAGCACATGGTAAACTTGAATGTAAGCCTATCAACAGTGCGAAAAATAAAAAATCGATGAACTTTTCTGATTATAATCGATTAGATTAACTTACTAAATTCGTCACATAGGTTGTACTTGTTCTAAAACCATTATGATCGGACTTAATCGTCTTAAAATACGAAGAGAAAAAAAAATATTTCACAGTAAGAACCACGACTGCAAGACATGGATCATTAAGGTGGCCAATCCAGCGCCTCCGACACCTGCCACATCGCCAGTTTGTTTACTCAACTCCCACTCTACCACAAGATGGTCGTAAAAAAGGCACGAGTATAAAATGAGGAAAACTAAGAAAAGCATTATTAAATAGTTAACAAAAAAGTAATCTTTCTAGTATGATTTGTTGATAGTGACAATATTACCACTTAGAGCAAACACGGTGAGTGGTTTCCCGGAGCACCTTAGAACAACAACTTATATTTTTCTTCTGCTTGTTTGAATCTCTTACGGGATCATGAGGGTGGTTCAGCGTTGACATGATGCTATTTTCAGAACCAGTGTACATCACTGACAAGGTCATAGCAATGGTGCTAATACAGATGAACATAGTGAGAAAGTTATTACTTGGCATACTCTACGTCTGTATACAGCAAGTGTATACACAGTTTCATTTAAAATACACGACAGGTGACGGAAACCAAAACTGGTACCACTGCGAGATATTTATTAATGACACTGATCAAGGACTCCTAACATACTGCTGGGTCGTATGGATGGTACACGCAGCACAGCAGGTTCACCACAAAAGTCACCATGGAGACGAAACAGACCTTAAAATCTCCGGACACGGTGGGAGAAAATAGTGCTTATCCAACCCGTTAAGCAGACGAGTAAACATTTTTATGTAAAATTTTAGACCGTATGGCTGAGCACCTGGGAAGCAAGGCGGAGTGGGACACATAATGACTAACGCTATACTTCAAGGAACAATAATTATAGCAAATGAATAATCTGTGGAAAAAATAAGAATATTTTAATGCCCCTTAGCAGATTATATGATGTACACATTTAAGCTCAAAGCTACACAAACAGGATTGGGTGTATGGCGTAACTTTTACAAACGGAATCCACTATTACATTCATCAACACGAATCTCAATATTTTCAAGTTATGGGCGAATAAATCTTATTACCGGGTGTTCATTTTTTTTACTACTATTCCAAAGTTTGATACACACGTTGATGAAAATGAGACTACCTTAAAACGTTCTCACGGGTGTAGACAAAACAGGAGAAGTACCCACTCCCACGCAGCTAAGGTAACACACCATTACAGGCTACCCGAATCTGAGACATCACCGCCACGCACCTCCCTGGAAGATAACTCGCATCTCGCACTTCACTGATCCCGGTAAACTAATCTCGCACAAACGCTCCTGCCGGCCTTGTTCCTACCATCACCTGACTCCCCTCGCAAAAACAAGGATATTATCCTCGCCGCCAGGATGTCTGTGTTTACAGTATCATTGTACACCGAGAGAGGAACCGGAGGCAGAAGGGATATAGATTACTCCTTATAGTCGTCGGTTGTTTCGCGAGTTGGATTTACGTCGTTAAGTAAGACTGCAGTAGAAATAAGGTTAAGGATCCCTATGTAAAGACAGTTTAAGGCTCCCACCGGCCTAAATAGCCGGAAACCAGAAACCTTAATAACTAAGGCACTCCCAAAAAAAATTTTTGGACCCCGATGAAAATTATGATTTAACGTTTGTCCTTGGTCAAATCTACTTACGGTTTACCATTGTTTGTAATAACATAAAGAAATACAAAAATTAAAAAAAGATCAAAAGTGAGAAACGATAAATGTATGTTGTGTTGTCAGTAATAAGAGAAACAACTGAGACCTGCAATTGTGTGAAAATGAGGCAGAAAGTCAGATCAGCAAACTGGGACTTGGTAAAAATTTTCGTGATGCCATATGGCAGCAGGGTCTACCATTAGACGACACATTATGCTTCCAATATCTTCCCAGGCGGTAAGTACCTCCCTGTTTGGTAGCTGCCTACTACCTACTATGATTATCAAAATTCATAATCTAGGGTACTATTAAGACAATTAATTAATTTTTTCTTCAATATTTTGACTACATATTCTTAATCAGCGTGGCGAGGACGACCTATACTGAGATTTTGAGCAAAATAATTTTTTTGGACTAATCTGTTTTCGGCAGTTTCATATCTGTATAATTACTTGTCCAAATAACATCTCAGAATTTTCAATTATCTTACTAACGGTAACTACTCGCTGCCTATGGTTTTTCAATGTAATTTTTTGGTATTTGTGGTATTCTGGATGTAATAACTAGTTAGACACAAAAAATTTCAATTCTGAAAGAAAAAGTGTTCTCGGCCTAAAATTCTACAAAGGGTATATATATATATATATATATATATATATATATATATATATATATATATATATATATATATATATATATATATATATATATATATATATAACGAAGAGGAGAACCAGGGTAAACGCAAACATCTTGAAGTAGGGCTTATTTTAATTGCTAACGTTTCGGAAATAATCCTTTTCCATCATCAGAGCCTAAAACGTACAGATGAACTGTTCTCAAATACTGATATAATTGATGGATTCAATGGACCACAATTTAAAGAATTTTTAAAACTGGCAGTAAATGATTGTTTGTTTTTATTTAATAACAAAGCTTATAAACAATGTGATGGTGTTGCTATGGGTTCTCCTTTAGGTCCCACGTTGGCCAACGCTTTCCTCTGTCACCACGAGAAGCTTTGGCTAACCGAATGTCCCCTCCCCCCCAATTTAAGCCTTTGTTCTATCGTCGGTAAGTTGATGACACTTTTTTTTTAATTTTCAGATCACTTGATCACGTCCCTATGTTCCTAAATTATTTAAATTCGAAACATGGCAACATCAAATTTACTTGTGAATTGGAAAAGGAAAATATTCTTCCATTCCTTGATGTTAATATCCACCGACCGTCTTCATAATAGTTTCGAGACAGCCTTATCCAGAAAACCAACTTTCACTGGTTTGAGTTCAAAATTTTCATCTTTTATTCCTCTTAATTACAAACGTAATCTAGTACGTACTCTTACCAACAGAGCCTTTAATATATGTTCAAGCTATTTCCACTTGGATATTGAACGAAAATACATAAAGGAACTACTCTTTAACAATGGTTTCCCTAAGAGATTTACAGACACTTATATTTGGCAAAACCCTTAATAGGTTTTTTAGTCCCACACAGCCTGAAATCCACACTGTCCCTAAATATTCTATCTATTTCACCATCCCGTACACAGGCCCACTCAGTTTCACCCTTAGAAATAAACTTAAGAAGCTTTTCAATGAATTCTATCCACAAATTTCTCTTAGACTAATCTTTAAAATCCAGAGTTCAATTAAGAAAATCTTTAAAATTAAAGACACCATACCCACACACCTGCAATCCTCAGTTGTTTATCAATTTACGTGTGCTAGCTGTAGGGCAGCATATATAGGTAAAACTAAAAGACATTTGATAACTCGCATCCATGAACACTTGGGCCGTTCCGTTCGAACTGGCCATTTAATAACGCAACCACCACATTCAGCTATTCGTAACCACGCCCACCAACATGACCACCCGTTTTCGCCGTCTGATTTCTCAGTTCTTGGCAAGAGCGACTGTGATACAGACCCCATCATTATGGAGACATTACACCGGTATAAAGAAAAGCCATCGCTTTGTGATATGGCCTCCAGTGGATTGTTGTGTTTCTCGCACTAAGGCTCGTCTGAATTAAGGTAATACCCCCTGTATATTTTATTTCATACTTTTTATTTCCTGATTTTAGCTTTGTATGTAGGTCTCTCGTCATTATATCGGTTTTGAATTGGATTGCTCTTTTTTTAAATTTTTAAAGTTTATCGAAGGTAAATTTTCGTATAATATTATGTTTTTATTGTATATCACCAGTATTTTAAAACTTTTTCAAAACAGTTTAGGCTCTGATGATGGAAAAGGATTATTTCCGAAACGTTAGCAATTAAAAGAAGCCCTTACTTCAAGATGTTTGTGTTTACCCTGGTTCTCTTCGTTATAAAACTACGCTTTCCACGTAACAAGTCCATTGCTGAAGTTATATATATATATATATATATATGCATTACAATAAGTGGGTATGTAGAGCAGGCAGACTGGGTGCCACGTGCTATCTTACTTAAACTCGGGGTTCTGAGGTACTTAACTATTGTGTAGCCAGTCAGTGTATTTAATAATAATACCGGGTAGTAATAATATTACCGGATAGTAATAATAATAATACCGGGTAGTAATAATAATAATACCGGATAGTAATAATAATAATACCGGGTAGTAATAATAATAATACCGGATAGTAGTAATAATAATACCGGGTAGTAATAATATTACCGGATAGTAATAATAATAATACCGGGTAGTAATAATAATAATACCAGGTAGCAATAATAATAATACCGGGTAGTAGTAATAATAATAATACCAGGTAGTAATAATAATAATACCGGGGAGTAATAATATTACCGGATAGTAATAATAATAATAATACCGGGTAGTAATAATAATAATACCGGATAGTAATAATACCGGGTAATAATAAAAATAATAATTACCGGTATATTAACAAGTATAGCTTTTGTTCTGGGGGACTTATCCTAGAGGACTTTTCGTCTAGGGGGGCTTTTGTCCGATTTTTTGTCCTAGGGGGATTTTGCCCTACACTCGGTAATAGAAGTTGGGGAGGATGGTGGAGTAGCTTCGTTCCAAACTGACAGATGAGGTCATGGTGATGATCAGAGAGAGTTAAGAGGGCCAGTGTACTGAGCGCCTCTTGATATGTGGTGTAGGGGTGGGAGAGAATAGTCTTGCACGCCCTCTTCTGCACTCCCAGGAAGACCAGGCAGGGAAAGTAAAGGTGAGCTTAGAAAGTATGTTGTATATATGTGTGTGTGTGTGTGTGTGCTGGGATAGGTGTAGGTGTGAGGAGAAGGGTGATATTTAAGGGGGAGAAGGTGGTGTAAGGAGGAGGTTTGGGAATAGGAGGTAGGTGTGGGGAACCCCAGCTGGAGAACGACTTGTACCGCCCTACTTCCTGTGTTTATAAACAAACTTTCAGAACATGCTAATTGTCACACAGTCTCAGCCAAATGTATGTATGTGTGTGTGCGAGTGGATGGCTCTCACACACACATAATTAGTTTCCCAGAAGGGTGACGACAGCATGTGTGTGTGTGTGTGTGTGTGTGTGTGGTGATGGAGGCAGGTAGGGTGTGGTTGGAGGCAGGTATATGATATGTCAGTAGTGGAGGCACAGTATGTGAAGCAAGTACAGTAGTTGTGATCCTCAGCCTGAGCACATAGTCACACTCGGCACCTACACCACACATTATACACCTATGGTTCACAATCACCACTACTGAGATACAACCCTTGAAACACACACACGCACACACACACCTGTTTGTCTCAATCCGTACCTTACGCCTATCTCCCAGTGGATTAGTTGAGGGAGGGACGGAAGTGGGAAGGTATAAAAGTGTCGGGTGAGGGAAGAGGGATACGGAATGATATGTGGGGAAGATAAGAAGGGGAATGGTTAGTAGGTGTTGGGGGAAGAAGAGTGCAGGGGATGGTATGAATGTTAGAGGGGAAAAGGAGGGGAAGGGGAATGGTGTGAAGGTGTTGGGGGAAGAAGAGTGGAGGGGGAATGGCAGAGGGTGTGTGTGTGCGTGTGTGTGAGACTTGATGATAAGCACATGTTTACGCAGGTCACCCACGACTCACTCACTCACTAGCCAAGACAAGGATATACCGTGAGTCTTGTTCCAGGGTCCTGCTGTTCATAAAGAGAGGTTGTTTACATCATTACGTTTTAGAAAAGTATCATCAGTTTGCTCAGTTGTGTGTTCATCTCTCTTGGTCACACTCATCTGGGTAGTTCACTTGATTGTACTGTAGATACGGTCAGTACCTTTAGAAGAGGTATTTTTTCCGGGAATGATGGCCCTCTTTGCCCGGGAATTGTGGCCCTATTTTCCGGGAATTGTGGCCCAATTTTTCTGGAAATTGTGGCATTATTTTACGAGTAATTATGACCCCATTTCACCGGGAAATGTAGGCCTATTTTCCCGGGAAATGTAGCCATATTTTCCGAGGAGTTCTAGCCGTATATTTTCGGAAATTTTGAAAAGTATGGTCGAAAAGTCGTGGTTGGGCCTAGTTCCCGGGAGACGGTCAAACATCGAGGAATCTTTTCCACCAATCAGCCCCATAGTTGCAAGACGACTCAGGATTCATTCATAAGTTTACTCTCTGAGGCAACTGTACAATTTATTATGTTAACAGTACTACAAGCATTGAGGTAACTTACAGTATTTACCTATTTTTTTCTTCAGAATTGCATGCATTTTTTCTAGGCGGAACTACCTGATGCGCACTATGCCTGATATCGGATTCCTCCTCCACCCTCTGGAAGAAGCTATCGGCGTCAATTTAATTCCCAAATTAGTGAAACATCTTCACTTAACCACAGCAGAAATATCACTCCTTGCACTACCACAGAGACTGGGAGGAATGGGATTGTCCAATCCAGAGACCAAAATGATAAGTTGCAGCAACTGATGCTGCAAATACCAAAGAATTTGAAAAAAAAAGTAGCTATTAGTGCAGGAGGTTGGCGCCTCGAACTGGTTAAATACATTACCGATAAGGGCAAATGGTTTCAGTCTCAATAAACAAGAATTTACAGATGCCATTGCTCTAAGGTACGGTAGACCAGTAGAAGGTTTGCCCTCCCAATGCGTGTGTGGCTCTTCCTATGACGTCGATCACGCCATGGTGTGCAAGAAAGGGGGCTTCATATGCATGAGGCATGACGAAGGGATCTCACAGCAAATATGTTGAAGGAAATCTGTCGTGATGTCAGGGTAGAACCGACCCTCCTTCCATTGGACGGTGAGAATTTCCAACATAGGACTTCAAACACATCCAACGAAGCCCATGTTGATATCAATGCTCAAGGATTCTGGGCGCGGGGACAGCGAACCTACTTCGACATCAGGATTTTTTATCCCATGGCAGCATGTCACCGTAACTTAGCTCTCGATGCTGCACACAGGAGAAACGAGAACGACAAGATAAGGGCATATGGGGAGAGAATTCAGAACGTTGATCAAGGTAGCTTCACTCCTCTGGTGTTCACAACCTCTGGTGGAATGGGACCAAGTGCAAGATGCTTCTCCGCTAGACTCGCGGAGGTGATCTCCGAACAGAAGCAGCAGCCCGGAAGTTATGTTACAGCCTGGATGAGATGTTGACTGTCCTTCTCTCTCCTTAGGTCTGCTTTGCTCTGCCTCAAGGAACGAGAGCATCGGCCCCAAAGCCGACAACAGTTGCAGATACTGACTATGAGGCAACAGTCACTGAATGCCGCATAGACCTGCGACTCCGCTAACTCAACACAGGTAGGATAGCTACTTATATATTAGGATATTTAACTTTAAGGTAATAAAATGGCGGCGAAGGTGTGGCTATTGGGGGAGGCTGGAGGCCACGTTGTAGTAATAGTAGTGTGTGTGCCTGTGCAGTGAATGTGTAGTGCGTGTACAGTATGTGTGTGTTGGTGAATGTGTAGTATGCATAATGATGGTGGTGGTGATCGTGATGGACGTTTGATGGGGTGGTGGCGGATGTAGACGTGTGGTGGGAGGGGTGGGGAGAGGAGGGGGGTTTACCAGCTGTGTTTTGAGGGGAAGGATGGTGTAGGAGGTCGGGGTTTCCTGTGTGTGTGTGTGTGTGTGTGTGTGTGAGTCAGACACTTCCTGCAGCTGGCGGTGGTCAAAGTGCCTCACTGACCCCTTCCTCAGACAAGTCCTCCTCATTTCCTCACACCTCCCCCTACACACACACACACCCTTCCCTTTCCTCATTCTTCCCTTTTCTTTCACATATTTTCTCAACTTGTTTTAAAACTATTTGACAACTTGACTACAACACTTTCTGGTTCTTGGGTTGGTGTGTTGGATGCAATTTCTGACACGCTTACGTGATCTGGGGATCGGCCACCCACGACCATAAGAGACAACATACTGCATATCCTCGGCTATGGCAGGAACCAGTCCAGAGCCCGACAAATCCTGCAGGAGACATGCTGAGGGCGTGAGGTGTGGGCGGCGTAAGGGAGGGAGGGAGGGAGTGGGTGGGCAGCTTCGTTACAACCCGGCTTATCCAAAATCATACCTTCCCCATCTTGATCACCTCTTCACAGCAACACTTACAGAACTCAGCAGGTAAAGGTTCAGAAGCAACCATGGTATAGTAACAGCAGCGACCATGGCTGTAAAATAAGAGCAGCAGGAACAGGAAGCAGACAAACGAGGAGGTTATTAAAGAAGTGTTGTATTGTGGGCGAGGGGGGTGGAGGGGTGAAGGGGGGAGGGGGTGGAGATGAAGGCTGGAGTGATAAGAGGTGGATGGGTGGTCTTGGTACGGGCGTGACTGAGTCTTGTGGAGGGGAGGCAGGGGGAAGAGTGATGATGACGCACGCCCATTGTTTGTTTCCCCCTCCCCCTTCACTCTCTCCTTGTTGACGTCACCACACAAATACGCGTGAAAACAAGCGTGACTCTCCTTATCATCTCGTGACCTCGGGGAGGGGGGAGTATCTTCACACATACTCGAATAACAAAAAAAAAATGGTGTCGAAGTGGGGTGTCCAATAAACTAGCCCTCACACTCCGTAGAGGCGAATCTAAATCAAAATCTGATGAAAGATTTTAACTAGATTTCCTCGAGTTATGCTACGGACAGACAGACGTACATTCGTAGATACTGTATTTACCTAAGGAAAGATGTTAAGATCATATTTCATCGAGGTCCATAAACTTACTACTTTTGGGAGTGCCTTAGTTGTAAAGGCTATTTAGGCCGGTGGGAGCCTTAAATTGTCTTTACATAGGGATCCTTAACCTTATTTCTACTGCAGTCTTACTTAACGACGTAAATCCAACTCGCGAAACAACCGACGACTATAAGGAGTAATCTATATCCCTTCTGCCTCCGGTTCCTCTATCGGTGTACAATGATACTGTAAACACAGACATCCTGGCGGCGAGGATAATATCCTTGTTTGTGCGAGGGGAGTCAGGTGATGGTAGGAACAAGGCCGGCAGGAGCGTTTGTGCGAGATTAGTTTACCGGGATCAGTGAAGTGTGAGATGTGTGCATGAGATCAGTTATCTTCCAGGGAGGTGCGTGACGGTGGTGTCTCGGGTTCGGGTAGCCTGTAATGGTGTGTTGTTGCCTTAGCTGGGTGTGAGGGAGTGGGTACTTCTCTTGTTTTGTTTACACCCGTGAGAACGTTTTAATGTAAAGTCACATTTTCATCAGCGTGTGTGTCAAACTTTGGAATAATAATAGGAAAATGAACACCCGGTAATAAGATTTTTTTCGCCCATAACTTGAAAATATTGAGATTCGTGTAAAAGTTACGCCATACACCCAGTCTTCTGTCTGTGTGTGTGTGTGTGTGTGTGTGTGTGTGTGTGTGTGTGTGTGTGTGTGTGTAGATTTGATCTTAAATGTGTACATCATATAATCTGCTAAGGGGCATTTAAATATTCTTATTAATTTATAGACTGTTCTTTTTATATAATTATTGTTCACTGAAGCATAGCGTTAGTCACTCAGTGGAGTCTGTAAAAATCACTTAAATGCATAATGTGACTAACCATGAGTTAGGATAAAGTAAGGTCGGATTCGTTTACATCAGCGTCTAAATTAGTCGTAAACGAAGTGTTTATTTAAAGAAAAAAAATTAGGGGGGGGGCGATTTTCAAATTTTACTTAACGTATACACCGGTTAAACACATAATTTCTCCAAGAAATGTTCCTGGCCGCGCATTCGAATACGTAACAACAAAGTGAAGTTCTCATCTTCTCAAGTATGTTCCTAGCCGCGCATTGAATACGTAACAAGAATGAGGTACTCAAGTTCTCAAATGCCGGGCAACGAATACCCGACGATAACCTGAGGTACTCAACCGCCACCCCTCAGAATTGAAATTTAAGGGGTTTAACTAATTAAGTACTTTCAGAATAACACACAAACCCTAAATCACATCACACCTTGGAACCCATAGTTGATGAGTAATTAACATTGAAAAATGTTAGTAAAATCTTTCAATGGTCATTTTAGCCACTAATTACTCTGCAATCGAATCGTGGACCATATATTCATAATCAGCAAGCTCAGGAGTACCCATACTGTGATTTTCAGCAAAATCTAATTTTTGGCCCAAAACCACCAAAAATGTAAGTCTTACAGGCCTACCACCTCTGGCCGAAGCGAAAAACACCTCGGAAATCGACGGATCTCGCCTGAATATTGTTCCTCGAAACTCGCCCATCATTCTCACACAAAAATCGGTGGTGTCCCCAGGGACCCTGCCAGAGGCGGTGGTGCCCTCAGGGGTCCTTCCAGGGACAGCAGCGCCCCCAGGGGCACTCCCAGGGTCCCTGCCAGGGGCGGTGGTACCCCCAGGGTCCCTGCCAGGGGTAATGGTGCCCACAGGGGCCCTGCCAAGGACTCTCCCGGGGGCAGCGGCGCTAACAAGGAACCACGGCGCCCCCAGGGCCCCTCTAATGAGCGGTGGCACAACTAGTGGCCCTCCCATGGACAGTGGCACCCCCAGGGACCCTCTCAGGGGCGGTGGCACCACCAGTGGCCCTCCCATGGACAAAGGCGCCCCCAGGGGTCCTCCCAGGGACCACGGCGCCTCCAGGGGCCTTCTCATGGGCGGTGGCGCCCCCAGGGGCTCTCCCAGGGGCAGCGGCGCCAACAGGGGACTTCCCAAGGACAGTGGTAACCCCAGGAGCCCTTCCATGGACAGCGGCGCCCCCGGGGGCCCTTTCAGGGGCGGTGGAGCCCACAGGGGCCCTGCCAGGGGCTATGTATTCTGTAATTAACCAGTATATATTTCTGTAAAACCTGGGTGGTGACGGTAACCTAACTGAAACCCAGAAGTACAGTGCAGCATGTATTCTGTAAAAAACAATTTCAGGGCAATACTATGCTTTTCCCTCTGTAGTGAACGTAGCTAACTTGATAGCTTGCCCCGATGACTAAACCAATGCAACCAAAGGCTATAAATTCTATATCAAAACGTTACCTATAACATCCAGGCGACCTTTGACTATACAACGCTACTTCTTGGAATAACGTCGAAATCAGGGCATGGCAAGTGATGTAGTGTCTAAATTAGTGCATGGCAACTTAATACGCATTGAAAATGAATGTCACGACACTTGTCTTGCAATTCAGTGATCTGATAATGACAACACTATACTCTGGAGTGTGAGTTCATTTATAGTGGTTCATTCAAGTGGTGGGTTCATTCAAGTGGTGGGTTCATTCATGCGGTGGGTTCATTCATGTGGTGGGTTCATTCATGCGGTGGGTTCATTCATGTGGTGGGTTCATTATCATCACCATTACAGTACAAACACCATCACCACCTATACCATTACCACTACCACCGTCATTACTACCCTCCTCCCCCCAGCCACCACCCCTACCTCAGTGACAATCGCCCTGGGAGACAAAAAACAACTCATCTCTCCTACGGTATGCGATAACGACTCCCTCCCCCGTCTATTGAAACAACAGCAGCTTGACTGTCTAATGTTACCACCACACTGGCATAACTGACTCTTCTTACGATAAAATACTTGTACTGTACACTTGTAACTCCTCAGATGGTGTCAGATACTGTACTGGTAACTCCTCAGATGGTGTCAGATACTGTACTGGTAACTCCTCAGATGGTGTCAGGTACTGTACTGGTAACTCCTCAGATGGTGTCAGGTACTGTACTGGTAACTCCTCAGATGGTGTCAGATACTGTACTGGTAACTCCTCAGATGGTGTCAGGTACTGTACTGGTAACTCCTCAGATGGTGTCAGATACTGTACTGGTAACTCCTCAGATGAGTATCCAGGTGCTGTACTGGTAACTCCTCAGATAGTGTCAGGTACTGTACCAAGTAACTACTCCAGGTATTGTCAGGTACTATGCTGGTAACTCCTCAGATGGTGTCAGATGCTGTACTGGTAACTCCTCAGATGGTGTCAGGTACTGTACTGGTAACTCCTCAGATGGTGTCAGGTACTGTACTGGTAACTCCTCAGATGGTGTCAGGTACTGTACTGGTAACTCCTCAGATGGTGTCAGGTACTGTACTGGTAACTCCTCAGATGGTGTCAGGTACTGTATTGGTAACTCCTCAGATGGTGTCAGGTACTGTATTGGTAACTCCTCAGATGGTGTCAGGTACTGTATTGGTAACTCCTCAGATGGTGTCAGGTACTGTACTGGTAACTCCTCAGATGGTGTCAGGTACTGTACTGGTAACTCCTCAGATGGTGTCAGGTACTGTACTGGTAACTCCTCAGATGGTGTCAGATACTGTACTGGTAACTCCTCAGATGGTGTCAGGTACTGTACTGGTAACTCCTCAGATGGTGTCAGGTACTGTACTGGTAACTCCTCAGATGGTGTCAGGTGTACTGTACTGGTAACTCCTCAGATGGTGTCAGGTACTGTACTGGTAACTCCCTCAACTCGATGGTGTCAGGTACCGTACCGGTAACTCCTCAGATGGTGTCAGATGTACTGTACTGCCCTCAGATGGTGTCAGGTACCGTACTGGTAACTCCTCAGATGTCAGGTACTGTACTGGTAACTCCTCAGATGGTGTCAGGTACTACTGGTAACTCCTCAGATGGTGTCAGATACTGTACTGGTAACTCCTCAGATGGTGTCAGGTACTGTACTGGTAACTCTCAGATGGTGTCAGATACTGTACTGGTAACTCCTCAGATGGTGTCAGATACTGTACTGGTAACTCCTCAGATGGTGTCAGGTACTGTACTGGTAACTCCTCAGATGGTGTCAGATACTGTACTGGTAACTCCTCAGATGGTGTCAGATACTGTACTGGTAACTCCTCAGATGGTGTCAGGTACTGTACTGGTAACTCTCAGATGGTGTCAGATACTGTACTGGTAACTCCTCAGATGGTGTCAGGTACTGTACTGGTAACTCCTCAGATGGTGTCAGATACTGTACTGGTAACTCCTCAGATGGTGTCAGATACTGTACTGGTAACTCCTCAGATGGTGTCAGATTCTAGATAGGTTAAACCAGGCTTGGTTAGGTGGGTTAGATTTAGTTATGTTAAACTGATAAAGGAGAGGAGGTGTTGGAGGGGTAGTAATGAGGGGAGGAGGAGGTGTTGGAGGGGGAGGTGTTGGAGAGGTAGTAGTGAGGGGGAAGAGGAGGTGTAGGACAGTAGGAGGGGTAACAGTGAGGGAAGGAGGAAGGTGGGGAAAGAGGGGGGGGAGGGGAGGCGTCATCGGTCAAGGAGTGAATGAGTATTGAGTCAGCCGGGCACAGCTGCTTCCCCCCTACCATGAACTCTTCCACCCCCTCCCCGTACCTCTACAATTATAAAGTGACTATCACCAACATTTAGCTAAATTACCAACGCTAAAATTAACAAAAGCGTAAATAAATAAATGACCAAGAAAAATATATATAGAGTAGTAATAATAAATAATAATAAAAATAAACTGCAACGGGAAACCAATAATAACTTGATGGTATGTGACAGAGACTTCAAGGAGTGTATGACAGTGGGTTATCGGTGGTGATGGTGGTGTGTTGACTGAGAGGAGGAGGAGAGGAACAGATGAGAGCGAGTTAACACACTTTCCTCCACAACCAGGAAACTCTAACCTCTGTCGCCGCCACCGCTTGGGGATGAAAAATGGTAGACGACACGGGTGATCGACAGCTGTGTGGGAGTACATGTGTGTGTGTGTGCATCAACAAATCAACTTGCAAAAACACTTGGCCTTTGTACGAGTTTTCCCCCAAAAGAGAATACGTACATGGAACTCTCTCATGGGGGAAAAATCTTATCAGTCAGTCAGTCAGTTAGGAAGGGCAGTGATTGAGTTAACTAACGCAGCCAAATATATACTGCACACAGGTGGAGTGTCAGTCAGCTGGCCGGGGGGGGGGTGTAATTTGAGCCACAGGTGACATGAAGGTGATGAGGCTAGGTGGGTAGGAACGGGGTGGCCTGGGGGAGGAAAGGAGCGACTAAGGGGAGGAAAGGGGTGACCAGGAGGTAGAAAGGGGTGAACAGAGGAGAAAAGGGGTGACTAGGGAGAGGAAAGGGGTATTATTCCCTACGAGAGAGAGAGAGAGAGAGAGAGAGAGAGAGAGAGAGAGAGAGAGAGAGAGAGAGAGATCCCCCACCAACAAGCAGCAGCTGTCGACGTGTATCGTGGCAGAGTGAGTCATGAGGCAGTAACACACACCCCTGTCAGTTTATCGCGTCTGCTGGGAGGGACGTGGGGGAGGGGCGCAGGGGTACAGAGTATGGGGTAGGAGGCACAGAGTATGAGAGGGCAAGATAAGGGATATGCACGGAGTAAGGGGAAGAGGAGTAAGGGCCTGGGGGTAGGGGGCGGTTAGTAGGACGTGGGTAGGTGGACAGATAATGAGATTCGCTTTCAAAATACTAACACAAGCCACTACTGTCAGATCTTAGTGAGGCAACCTATGATGACTCACCACTGAATCATCCTCATTCTACTACCCGTGACCGACCTGAACCAGTAGGCCACACTAACACCCATCAGTGAACGCCTTTTTTACTGGTGGGCGAACGTTTGTCTGGCATTTTTGTGATGAAGTGGATGTATTATATTTTCCTGTGGGGGAGTGGGTTTATTTTAACAGCCTAAGAGATGGTACTAAACAAGAGATCTCTTCAAAGACTGCTGGCGACCCAACATGTATACCCTTATTACTGTATTTTCTGTCACCATTACCACCACCACCACCATCCAGAACATTTACGAGAAAAAAAAAACGTTAAAAATGTACAAAACAAAAAGTAAAAAAATAATTAATAAAAGCCAAATTTAACCTTATTTAGAATACTTAAAAAAAACTTTCTTCCCACAACTTTTTTTTTTTTAATATTTCCTGTAACTTTCCCGTGATTTTTTCTCCCCCTAACGCATCACGTATGGCAACTGTCGATCATATTCTGGCAACACAAGCAAGCAAGTACAAGGCCACGCACGTCAGCATCACAGGAGTGCAAAACACACACTTCCTGGACCTCATCATATCCGGTGATCCATTGTCTCAGGAGGATAATGTACATAAAAATTAAAACTTTTTTTTTTTTACACTATGTCAACACGAGGAGAGATAGACGAGAGATTTTTGTAGTCACAGCGAACAAAAATACAAGACCTAATTTGATATAAGACTCATGTGGTGTTTGAGCATTATTAGGCTAATTCCGATCGTAGAGTATTTTTGTTATTAAGTTTACAAGAAAAAAAAAGGATCATTATTCTTTACACGAGAGGTTTTGTGGAACTTTAATGCAAGTCAATAATCTTGTTTTATCTCACCTTTCTTCATGACATTATGAGGAAAAGTTTTCATCAATACTATATTCTGAACTAGCCTCGGTACCTCACAAAGACGTGATAACTGGAACCGGTCAAACCCTCCTTCTACATTTGTATACTTTTGATAGCACAAGTCCCCCCACGCACTTTTTTCCTTCGCCATTACCCCAACACCTGACAGTAGCTGTTAATGCCATACTGACGTGTCTAGCATAAATTGATACCAAACTTCCGCTGTGCATATATTAAAAGTGAAAGTGTGGATAGGCTACAGCACACCATATATATACTGAGCCTTAGATACACAAAGAGGTAACTGCACTGCAATCGATTGAATTCACTTCCTGCAATTATACAGTTATGTACAGCATTTATAGTCGAGTGGACTGAGTGAGTGAGTCATGACCGACCCAGCGAGCCAACTGCAGTAGTGTTGTCTTGGTAGCAGCAGCGCGTGACTTTTGGA